GAAGCTGCTTTATAAGCCTATTATGCCACTTTGCTGCCACAAAGTCTATAAATTATCTCTCCATAGCCAGGCTTCTGCATGATGCCATTCTACTAGAGGACTTGCCATGTGGTGGGATCTACGGGCAAGGAAATGACCACTGCACAGTGGCCTTCGTGGTGTGCTGAAAGCAAAGGCTTCAAGTACAGTCTGAAACTGCACACACTGAGACAATCAAATCTGAGGCAGACCTGTCAATCATGCTCCAAGTAGACTGGATGAACTCTGGTAGAATCAAGGACTGGAATAGCTGGAGGAACAGCCAGACAGAGCAAAGTGCTAAGTAGATATAGAATATAGATAACAGCTAAGTAGATATAGAACTTTTGAATCTGCCCACACAAGAAATGATGCTATCCAGTACTTTTGTTTTCTCTTTCTCATACCTCCATTTACAAAATTAATGTCTTTTGTTACTGAGTATGCAAATAAAACTTCTGAAATTATTTTTTCATCATTATAACAAGTTCTAGGCTCTAAGACAGGTCATCAAAAGGCAGGAAATTCAGGGACAAGTGAAACACACACTGCTATCTCTGAGAGAATTAAATTGGTTTTAATGCTCTATACATTGAACAAGGCCATTGCATAATGCAATCCAGCCTTAATTTTGCTTCTTTGCCAGATTGCCACACAAACCCATTGTATTTCATGGGGTGAGTACTTAGTGAGAAAAACAGATCTGTCAGTACACAGAAAACCATTATTTGTGTTTTTTTTCAGAACCATTTCCAGCTTCAGAGATAATTGGATTTACTCATTTTTCTGCAGCCTGTTGAGCTATCTGTACCTTTAGGATCCTCAGCTGACATAAAAAGAGACAGCAGGGAGAATTCTTACATGGAGAAAGTCACGGTAGCTTCATGTGAAGTCAACAAAACCAGGCCAGCTTAAGTTTATACCAGATGGGGTTCCAGCACTCATATTCCTGTTACCATTGGAATTGAAGTTCCTGGAATTAATTTAATTTTTGTCTGCACCTTGCTGATTAAAATTCAGCTTTACAGCTCCTACGCTTCTTGCTGAATGAGTTATTAGCATGGAATCTGCTGTCAGCAGGGACTTTAAGCTGAGTAAAACCACTTCAAACAGAGCAGATCACAAGGGCTGTCAAATAATATCTGATGACATTATGATAATTAACATAAAATAGTTCTGCATTAACCCACACTGAAAACCACAGGCAGAACCTAGATCTGTGCTCTCAGAACTCAGAAGACAGGGAAAGTTCAGTCTCCAGCAATGCTGTGATGATTCTGCATAGCACCTTTAACAAAGAGTGCTTGACTTTCTCTACTACTGCGTGGAAATGGAAACTTACTGAAAATGTATCTTTAGTTGCATGTTGACAATGTCTTCATCCTCAACTATGCTCAGGCTTCAGCAATCACAATCTGTTTTCTTTCCACTTTTCCTCCTTTCCATCAAATGCACACCAGGTTTCTAATTGATGCAGCCAGCAAACCCTGACAACTTCCACTCCTCTACATGCATCTCCATACCCATCTCCATCTGGGTTGTCCTCTGTCCCACTCTGGCCTTTCTCAGGACCAGTCATGGCAGTCTGGTAAAGTTCCCACTGACTGAGAAGAGGAAGCATAATCCCCACTTTTAAAAAGGGAAATGAAGACCTGGGGATCTACAGACTGCTCAGTGTCACCTCTGTGAGATCATGGAGCAGATGCCCCCAGAAATTCCACCAAGGCAAACGAAAAATAAAGAGGTGACTGGTGACAGCCAACATGGCTTCACTACGTGCCTGACAAATTTGGTGGCTTTCTACAACAATGTTACAGCAGTGGTGGATGACAGAAGAGCAACTGATGTCATCTACGTGGACTTGTACAAAGCATAGGACACTGTCACACACAACATCCTTGTCTCTAAATTGGAGAGGCACAGACTACACAGTGGGTAAGGATTTAGCTGGATGGTCACACTCAAACAGTTGTGGTCAGTGGCTCAATGTCCAAGTGGAGAGCAGAAATGAGTGGTGTTCCTCAGGGGTTGATATTGGGATTGGTGCTGTTCGACGTGTTTGTTGGTGACATGGACAGAGGGATTGAGTGCACTCTCAGCAAGTTTGTCAACACCAGCCTGTGTGGTGTGTTCAACATGCTGGAGGAAAGGGGTGCCATCCAGAGGGACCTTGACAGGCCTGAGAGCTGAGCCTGTACAAACCTCACGAAGTTCAACAAGGCCAAGTGCAAGGTCCCACACCTGGTTCAGGGCAATCCCAATTCAGGGCTGGTTGGAGAATGAATCTATAGCAGCCCTGGGGAGAAAGACTTGGGGGTGTTGGTGAGTGAGAAGCTCAACAGGACCCATCAATGTGCACTCACAGCCTAGAAAGCCAAACACATCCTGGGCTGCATCAAAAGCAGTGTGGCCAGCAGGTCGAGGGAGGTAATTTTCCCCCTCTGTTCTGCTCTGGTGAGACCCCACAAGGAGTACTGCATCCAGTGCTGGCGTCCCCAACATAAGAAGGCCATGGACTTGCTGGACTGAGTCCAGAGGAGGGCCATAAAGATGGTCAGAGGGCTGGAGCCCCTGTACTATAAAGACAGGCTGAGAGAGTTGGGGTTACTCAGCCTGGAAAAGAGAAGGCTCTGGCGAGTTCTTATAGCAGCCTTCCAGTACCTAAAGGGGGCCTACAAGAGAGATGAGTGGGAGCTTGCAAGGGAATGCAATGGTAGGACAAGAGGGAATGGCTTTAAACTGAAAGAGGGTATTTATTTAGATTAGATATAAGAGAGAAATTATTTACTGTGAGAGTGGTGAGACACTGGAACAGGTTGCCCAGAGAAGTTGCGGATGCCCCATCTCTGCCTGTGTTCAAGGACAGGTTGGATGGGACCCTGAGCAACCTGCTCTGCCTGTGGCAGGAGTGTTGGAATGAGATGATCTTGAAGGTTCTTTCCAACCCAAACTATTCTAGGATCCTATGAATTCTATGTCGTGGGATCCTGGCTCTCATTGTGCAAGTTAGAGAACAGGCTCCTGTGATTAAGAAATAAAGTGCTCATCACTTCTTGTGGTAAACTTATGCTTCCTGTCATGTCCTGCCGCAGACTTCTCATATCTCACTTCCCAAGTTCTGCTGCCTTCAACCAGAAATTGTTCCCAAAGAGTCCTAATGACATCTTAAATAATATTTTCCTACCAAAAGAATCCATCTGTCTAACTTCTGGTTCTGAATGAATTTCCTGTAGCAAAGATCTTTCATGATGACAATTTAAAGTAGGACTTTTCTTATTTAAAAGAGAGTTTGTTCTCTTCCAAAATCTCCTCTATCCCATTGAATATTTTAAATTTTTATAGTTATGCAGCAATCTTGTATCCAATACACTATGTCTGCACATTTACACCACCTTAGTTTCTTTTTGTCTTTGCATCAAATTTGAGCACCACTTCTTTTACCTTTGAGGCCTGATACTGATTACATGTTCTCTCTCCAACCTTGTATCTTAATCTCTACTGACATAAAGACCTCTTCTTCCTCTCCATGTCCTTGTCTAAAATATAGCTATGATATCTATTCACACGCATTACTCATTCCTAGGTCAATGATAAATACTCAGAAAACAAACCAGTGTTATTGAGAATAGCACTTTGAAAACCTCAGAACAGTGCGGAGGAGTGTCAAAATGTGATATTGTATTTAAAAAATCAAAGGGGGAAAATGTACAGAACACCCTCCCACAAAAAACTATAGCCAATGAGATGATCCTGAGACCAAGATGATCCAGATGAATTTGTGTCTTACATTATTTTCTTTACACGATCATTATCAGTCTTTTTTTTAACTTATTTACATAAGTACTTAACTCACACTCCTGTGTTCCACTGAACATCAGTGTAGACAAATTTGGAACGCCGGTCTGATCAAGCAAAATTATCAGAACATCAGACTGCAGTCATCAGTAGAGTTCAAACATGGAGTGCAGTCCTAGTGCCTAAGCAGTTCATTTCCTGCCAACTTAGATCTGTTTTCTGTCTTTACTTCTTATGTCTCTGTCCTCAGTGGTAATTACTCTGACTCCTAGCTTTCAAACAAGACAGAAAGCTGAGGCCTTTTGTCTACTTGACTCACAGAACTGTGCTGGGGAAATGCTGTGGCTTAAAAAAGGAGATGGAACTCTGAATCTGAAATTAGTAGATCAGTGAGGAAGTGGAGAAACAGGTACAGTATTATTTTAAAACTACCCACACAAGGGCATTCTGAAAAAAATTCCAGAACAAACAGATTTTTAAGTGAAAGATGTAGGCCAACTTCAGTTTCTGTATAATTTCTGTCGAATAGAATTTAAAATAGGCTTTTCTTTTCCCTCAAAACTCAGTTTCTGTTCTCAGGGTCTGGATAGACTTGTTGTTCAAGATGAGAACTGTGCTGCCAGTAGCTAAGTAGCTACTTAAGAAAGAAATAATTAAAAATATCACTTTTACATAAAAGATTTGAGACTGCTTTTATTTTTCCTTTTTTTTTTTTTTCTCTTGAGGAAGACACGAGGAAGAACTGTCTTGGAGGTAGTGCCAAAGAAGTGCCAAAGAAGTAGTAGTAGTAACAGAAACAACAAACATGAAGAATACATTTCTCTCTAGCTTCCCAGGACTAACATTTCCTTTTTGATATTAAACTCAGCCTTGCATAATCTCCTCTGCTTTTACCCTTTCTGAACTCTGCTGCAGGGTTTATCTTCACTTATCATCCTCCCGAGGAGAGCCAATGAACGGAAGGCAGAACTGCTCAGTCTGTTTCCTCAGTGTTCGCCCAGGCTCTCAGCACAGGAAGCCTAGTGCTCTGAAAAGTCAGAAGGAGGAACCTCTCCAGCTTTGAGGAGCCAGTTGATCAAGAGCATGCACAGCTAGAAGACAGGAGCTGGAAAGGGAGAGAGGAAACACTGACACTGACTGCTGAGGATGCACTGGCAGGCAATAAATGCTCCCCATGACCACAGTTAGGTTGGTGTCGGGATGGATGGAGTGACGGAGCTGCCTAGAGCATGAAAGCAGGAACCAACATGAAGATTTCTGGGAAGACTGTGTGTATGTTTGTGCTGCTTACCATCACTGTTATGAGATCAGCAGGTGAGTCTAACTGGAACCAACTGGCCATTGGGATGTAAGATCGGGGAATGTGCACAGCTACTTTCTTTCTGTAGAAGCTATTCATTGTTCTGTGGCTCTCATAAAGTGCTAAAAATTATGGAGCACAACTGAAACATGCTTTCCCAATATCCAGTTCTGTTCCTCTTTTCTTAGTGATCACAAAGGTGCCAGGCATTATTCTTGTGACTTCAATGTAGGAAACTATTAAGTGGCCCTCATCTGGGAATGTAACACTTGTCACAAAAAGCCTTTTTACTGAGAACCCAAAATCCACATCATCTGAGAAACCGATCCTTTTAACATATTAAAAATATGCCAGAGAAAGTTTTTGTGAATTTGAAGCTTTTGGACATGCAGTTTCTGCTGAAGAGAGGCTGCAGGTACTCTGAAATAGGGCAGGAATCTCTTGCATCTTTCTGTGAAGTAGTGGAAGACCCCTGATGCTCTGATAGTAGGCAGCAGTTTCTGGAATTTTGTTCTGAGGCTAAGGGACATAGCCAGTATCAAGTTGGGAAAGGCTTCTGTGCCAAAGGCAGTGGCACTCCAAAGCTTCTGTCTTTTAGTGTAATTGAGTTAGTTTTAATACTGTTTAACTACAGCAATTAATGTTTCCCACATACTGCTTATTTGCATTTCTAGAGCCTGTGCTCTTCCAGGCACCATACAGGAGGCCAGGAATCTGGTACTGGATCTAGGAATTTGGGGAGCAGTTGCAGAAGCCTAAATTGTCTATGTATAGAGGTAGAAGGCAGAAAGGTCTGTGAGATCCAAATTAAATTAGAGACATCTCTGAATAATATGTAATGTGCATGTGTCCATTTCTATTATAGACAGAAGAACTAAACTATGTGGACATAAGCTATTCCATTCCACTTGGCCAGAAAATAAAAATGTCTCCTTCGCGATATTTTAAAGCAAAACAGATGCAGTCATTGTTGGCAGTGACAGAATACCTGTCTATAATGTGTTTGGGTGATAGTGAAAGATCCCAAATAGTTACCTGAGTGCTACCCCTTGGAAAAAATTTAAATATTCCACAAAAATTATTAAACTTTGCATCAGTAACCTCACAAAAGGCCCACTGGAGGTAAAAAAAACCTGTTCCTTTTCTGTAGATAAAGAACTATCTCAAAAGAATACTGAGGAACCTGCTCAAGATCATGCAAATAGATCATGGTAAGCATCAGAGACAGCCAACATTTTTGAATACAGCTGATCAGAAAGGAGTATGACTACACCAAAAAATGTTGAAGAAAATGGGGAGACAAATGGGAATAAACTTGGAAAAATTCTTTTTAAAAACTGACTTTGCTGGAAATATTTTTAAAAGTCCAATGCCAAAAAGTAGATATTTTTCACTCGAAGGTATTTGGAATTCAACTTTTTGGCGTCTTGGTTGATCAACTATATTGCCCTCCAAAGAATGTAGAAAAAGGTGTGCAGTTAAAATGTAATTTCGTGCCTGAAATCTCCCCCCGGAATCCTGCTCCCAGTAAAAAGCAGCCCATATTTGATGGGAAGCTTTTAGCTAACACTGCTCTTAAACTTGTTTCCTTGATTATTAGAGTGACTCTTCTGAGCAAGATGTAGTGACAAGGGTTTTTTTTTTCTTCAGAGATCAAAGGCTAAGTATGTCAAGCTGATCCAATGAGTGCTTTCTATTCAGAGAATTTTAGTGTTACATGAAGCTCAGAAGGAACTATGTCCCACCTTCTGAAGACTAGAGCAAGCTACTCTAATCTAAATAAGGTCAAGCAAAAACTGTTGTGTGTAACCAGGCTTTATCTCCATTAACATTTTCCTTAGTATTTCCTTAGTAAGTTGTTTTGTGTGGTTGGGTTAGTTTTTATGACAGCAGAAGGGGAAGCTCAGAAGCCAGGATGAGTTTGCTTTGTAGTTGTTGCATCTGCTTTCAGGTAGAATTGGATAATATGCTACTGAAGCTGCTGGTGCATGGTCTCTACTAACAATCCTTTTGTGACAATCCTCATAGTAGTGGCAGAGAAAATAAAAACCTTTTTGGTAATTCTTTTAAGATTTCTAGCACACAGAACAACTCAAGTGGTTGTGTACACACTCCAAAGGAAAGTGGTAAGGAAAGGCAAGATCTTCCATGAGAAGTTCATGCGACAAATCTCTTTTTATTGAAATAACATTTGCGTTGTTGGGCTGTGTAAATCCTGCATCTACAGTTGTGTCTTGTGACAATAGATATGTCCAAGTGCTCCAGAGGAAGCTGCAAGAAATCCATTGTCAGTAAGGAGATGTGACTCTCTATGGTTGTTCAGTTTTATCAATAGTAGAAAACTGAAGTCAGTAATATTGTATCAGTGCTGGAATTATAAAGCATGAGGTGAATAAAAGTGAAGTTGATTTACAGAAACTTAGGTACAGTTCAAGTTTACCTACATACTTAACCTTCTTGAATGCTGCTGCTTTCATTTAGTTTCTTTCCTTAATAAAGCTGGTAAATTCTTTTTCACTAGGGTACTAGTGTTTTATTGCATTTTTACTGTCTCTCTTGTAGTGTGTTTCACTGCTTCTGTCTCTGTTGCCTTCTATTCTAGTTCGTGGTGGAATCTTGCTCCAGATACAAAAAAATCATAGCCTAAAAAAATATTATGGAAATCTTACAGTTTCTCCATTTCACTATTTTTTTGCTGCTCCTTTGGGACTATATGCAGGAATAATTCTGACCTTTTTTACCCTAAAAATATCTGAATCCAAACAGCTAGCTTTTCTCATCCAAATTCTTAAAACAGAATTTTGTACTGAATTTCCACCAAGCAAAAATTTTCTTAGAATACATCTCAATTGCCATAGTACAATCTTCAAAGCACGTCCTCACGATACCAATATTTTACTGTACTGTGGTCCATTCATTTGTGTCTGAATGTGTTAAAAGGAAGTTCAGTCTTGCAAGCTGACTACACACTCCATGAATTACAAAACAAGCAGATTTGCTTTAACTGTGAATGTACTCGTAGAGGTACATGCTACTTAAAACTCACAGTTGATATATTTTATATTTAGAAGTACAATCATTCATAAGAAACAAGAGTAGGGGATCTTCTTGTGCTGCCTTATCTTTGTGCTGAATAAGAAAATGCTAGGACAAGAACTACTATGCTAAAGCTAAGCAGTAAGCAAGGTATGACTGAGATTTTAACCATATAAAAGTGAGATCATAGCCCTGTTTTCATAGCAGTCTCTTATCTGTTCTCTGCAAACTATGAAAAAGAAAGCATACAAGCTGGTGTTTGCAGTCAATGATCTATTTTTTGTTTAGGATAGCAGGAAAATACCTCTTAAGCAGGAATAAACAGTACTTGTTTCATTTTTCTTCTCATGTGGGAAGAAGGCCAAGTTCAGCATGCAGAACCAAATATAAACCAATCTGTATCTGTTTCTATACTGAGAAGTTGGAGGCACTTTGTTACACATGGTGTCACAGTGCTACTTGGAAAGAAATACAACCCAAGGCACTTTGACATCCGGTATAAATCCCTTTTCCCCTCATCCATTCCAGCTCACCTTCTGCAAGGACAAAGATCTTTGCATGTAGAATTTGCCATACCAAGTTCAAAGTTTAGGACAAGACTGATATAATATGTGACAGCTTGTTAAGTTCAGTGATGATTTGTTATCGGCTGAGGATTTGGCCAATAGTGTTTGTTCTATAAGCTGCATGACATAATTTAAACACCAACAAATTCCCTCATTAAAGAAGCATACCCATCCTTTTTTCTAGAAATTCATGTTTATATTGAGACATAACCCATTTAAGTGAGGGTAATCACTGAATCACTGGATTAAATTGCAGTGTTGGAATGAAGTTAAATTGCCTTTTTTTTTCCCCCAGATGTATCACAAAACACTTTTCATAAACAATTTGAGCACCAAAAAAACCATCCACATTATTGAAAGGCTGGTTTTAATCCCGATTGAGGCAAGATTCTCTATTCAAAATTTGCAATACTACTTGTTTTTATTATTATTACATTTTCAGCTGCTGAATTTCAGCACACATCTGCCATTCTACTGATCAAGGTCAACTGGTTCTTTTTGTATGGCATATCAATTCTTTATACTAATAACACTATATTCTTCCTGCTTTTAACAAATTTCCTCACACAGCCAATGTCATTAGTAAAAAGGTTAAATGCAATTATGGCAAAAAGTCTCTGTTGAGAAACATTATTAGCAAGCTACTTTCAACCTGACACCTCCTTTTTACATTGCCTTCGCTTTCTCCCCTTAATCCAGTTCTTTATCCATCGTGTTTCCCTTCAATTGTCCCTCTATTCTTCAGCTTAATTTTTCAAGAGGACACTGTATCAATCCACATCTCTTAACATCTGGGTTTTAATTTCTTTTCCTTCAAAATTAGCTATCTTGAATGACTGCTTTTGAAATTATACTGGAGAAAGCTTAATAGAATTGAAAGATCATAGAAAAATAAAAAACTAGGAACTGGCAAGTGCAAAGGTATATTCCACCTTAAATGGGAAGACTGAAACCTTGGGATCATTGTGTTCTGTCAGTGTCCTCACCTTTCTGCAACATATAAGGTCATTTGCAACACAAAAAAAATTCAGCCATGCTGTGGGCACTTCATACTGGAAAATCAGTGACAAAGCATGTAAGGTTGCTATTTCAGCTTGTATGAAACATCAAGAAAGAGTGACACAGTAATGGGGACAAGAAAAGGACTGCAAGTGACACGGTAATAGTTGCAGAAAAGAAATGTGCTGAAAGGAGAACAAAATAAGAATTTGAGTATGAGGAAGAAAAGAATTTCTGAAGATAAGAAAAAAGCCTGACTAAAGGAAATGGGAATGGGAGACATTTTCAAAGAATAATGCTAAGTATGGATAAAAGAGTGTGATTGTGAAACTAAGAATTAAGATATAAGTCTCTTAATGTGTCCTTTTAAAGATACATCCATGCTGAAAAAGCTGTGATCTCAGTTTCAAGAA